GAGGGTGGGAGAGAAGCGCGGCGTAGAAGCGTATAATACATAATGTTCTTGCCGCCCCTTAGAATGTACAAGGTTTCGGTTCGTACATCCATCTCCCGCGTCATAAGCACGCCGACTAAAACATCGTCGATTTTTCTTGCATAGGTGTTACGTGTTTTTGATAAATGGCTGCTCGTGCGATCTCTCTCCTCCTCCTTCCGCCACCCCTTCCTCTTTCTCGGCCTTCTTCCGACATCATTGTTCCCAAAACGCACTAATATGCACTTTCTGCAACCGCATCCTGCCTATATTCGTCAATTTAACAACAATGTGCTATTTTCTCTTCTTTCTTTTTTTTCTGTTAGTTTAATTCTTTTATTTGCTTTTTTGAGCGAAATAAAGAGACTTTTCGAGAGGCTTGGAAAAAATAAATAGATTGCATAGATGCATGAAATTGCACAAGATTAATATCTGTGAAGGGTCAATTTTTTTCCCTCTCTGTAAGTAAATTTTTTAAATTTTCGATATTACATGTTTATATGTTTCACTGTAAATTTTTATACATTTTTATGCATATTATATATTTTTATAAAAATTTATGTATAATAATATTATATATTTTTACAATTTTTACAAACCTACAATTAAAATTTTATTGAAGTTTATATAAAATTAACTGAAGAATATCTTTGTCATTGACTTTTCACAAAAAAAATTACGAATGATTAAATTTTTTTTTTTTTAAGCCTTTCACATACAAAATTAAGCAAGAAATTCGTTATTAAAGCATAATACTGCAAACTAGAAAATGCCATATAGGAATCTAAAATGATGTCATAAGTTTTTACAAGATTTTTTACTGATTTATAATACTATTTAACTTTTAATAATCAATGGCGATATAATTAAGTTTCGTGTTAAATTCTCATTAAGGAAAATTGACTTGAAAACTGAGGGAAAACGTTTTTTGTTGTACTTTTTACACTCTACGCTCATGACTGAAAAAAGGGAACATATAAACCTTTATAGAATATATGTTTTTAAATCTAAGAGAAAAAGAGAGGGAAAGAGATATATTATTGCAATTTTCTCGTTTGATTAAAAGTACTTTTTTATTGGTTATTGATTGGTACTAATATGCCTATTTTGCGCGTATGGCGCGGATGTTATCGATCATTCGCTTTACAACCAATAGGACTTGATGATCGCAGCAGGAGGTTATCCGGGGCGAGGATATCGGCAGGATGAGCAAATGACTGGCGCAGCACGCGATCTTCTATTACTTACCGCGTTAATTGATATTGATGTGACGCAGTCCCTTTCGAGAAAGCTGATCGATATTAATGCGACGCGCCTTATGGCATTAATGAAGAAATAACGCTGATTACATTAAATTCGCTTTCCAATATTCTGTTTTTTGTTAATTATTGTGTCAATTTTAATCTCTTGATAATGCTTTGTATAAATCTATTTTGATAATAGGAAAAGATGTGTGCCTAATATTAAAAAAAGAATCAACGCTTAAATAATAAGAAAGTTGAATCATTATAATCCATTATCATAATTAATAAACAAATTAAATTATAATTTACTCGTCGAAAAAAGGTAATTCATTATGACATTGTCTCTCAAGAAAATTCATATAATCCATATTTTATACATCTTAAAAAGCTACTGTCTAATATTTCTTTTATTTTTCTACATGTATGAATACATATTTGATGATTTTGATTATAGATAAGTCTATAAAAATAATTGTTCCATGAGATGATTTTTCTCGGTCTCGTTGATTTAAACGAGTTTTAAAGACGATGACGGAGAAAAAGAATGAGGCGAGAGGTGATAGGTCGGAAGGCACTTATCAAGCGCATCACCTTGTTTCTGGCAATTAGTCATGATCGACGTCACGCGCCGAGTGTTTCCAAAGTCCATCGCGACTAATTGCCGCGAAGGCGACGGCCACGAAGTAGCCATCGGAAATTTGTCAATTGCAGGTAACTTCGGCTCGTTCCGCGCACAGTTTCCTCGCAGATGTTCCTGATAGGCCAAAGTTACGGGCTACGCTTGCGGAGCACCTTACTTCGACGGCCGTTCCCTTGTACACCAATTTCTTTATCCCCCTTGTCCCCTCCCCGCGCATACTCCTCTCCTCTCCCATCTCACTCTATTTTCTCCCAAGTCACTTCTCCTTCGTTACTTTCTTTGTTTTCCTTCGCTGTCAAATGTCGCGATCGTAAAATCGATATGCTACACCTACAACTAAATCCAGAGGGAATTTAGACGTAGATTTGAAATCTCGAAAATCAGGAAGTACCTACCATTATTTCCAGATATGGCTCACTGCAATTTTTATCAAGCACCCTCGAGAAAATATTATATATTTGTTGTATATCGTACTGTATGTGTTCACTTTACCTATCGGATGTAATCCCTTACCGTTCGATTATGTTAAAATTAACCGTTATTCGATTATGTTAAAATTAAACTCACTTTAAGATGTATCGATTTTTAAATAATGTTGACATTTGGAGAAAAATATAACAGTTACGTTAACAAATCTTAAAAAATATGACAAAACTTGTTTCGAGTAGCAGAAACACTAACTCATTAAGTGTACTGCTACATGGAGAAGTACTTCGAAGATGACAGGAACCATTAGTGAGTAACTAATTGAGGGGTTTGAAGGTAAAACCCGGTAAACTCGAGTAACTGACATTTATGTAAATGTCAGTTACCTGATTTTACGTCCGAACCCTTTAATTAAACACAGTTGTCAAATGGACATTCTAGAAACTTAACTAAAAAAGTCAAGTCAAAGCAAATCGTACATAATTATAATAAATGCATGTAGATGATTTTTCAATAATTGATCTTGAAGTTTGACCTAATGAGGATCTAATATCTTCATTCATGGGTAGATTGAAGGTTTTAATTTTTATATATTTAAAATAGAATTTAAAAAAAAATAATTTTTTATATCAATCAATCACCAAAATACTTTTTCATCATTAAATGTAAAATAATAATTGATTTATGAAATGAAAGAGAACTCTCCGTTGCTCGCACTTCGCACGCATAAAATTATTCTTTAAAAAACCCGCAAGCATTCTCTCATATGTACATTCTAATATAGATATAATACAGTATATATTTCTCTCACATTTTCCTCTCTATCTCTCTCAGTTCTCTATTGTTCCCATTTTAAAACTGTTTTAAGTCCATTTAAAAACCTCCGTGAAACCCTATTCAGAGGTACGCTCCTAGCTGGACACGGTCCGGCGGCGTTTCACTATTTTCTCAGGACTCTCGCATTGCGCGTCGCGATGCGTCGCATCGCGTTGTCGGCCGGATCTCGCGCGTCGGCCACGTGATGTGGCACGTATACGCGAGCGTCGGCAGGCGTCGAGACGCTGTCGGAAAAGGGGCGTCCGCGGCTTTATGTTCCCGTTGGGAATTCCGTTCTCATGCCTCACGGCGTTTCGTTTCACGTCGACGTTCCGCCGCTGTATGTGAAACTACCGCGCGCGTCTCACACACACACACACACACGCACGCACCCACGCACGCACCTACACGTACAGGCGCACGTTCAAAGCCGCGCCGCTGTCAGACCGGACACGAAACTTTGCTGGATCGCCTGCCGTGATCCGCGAGTCACGTGACGCGATACGCGTGTCAGGATCGGCTCCGCGAGACGATCGCGTGCGCAGATGTATTAGCAGATTGTTGTTGCAATTTAACGTTATGTGATTAGCGTGGTACACGGTACGTGTAGCACTTAGCAAATTGGTTCCAATCAAATGTTAACGGATGTTTGAAGATATTTATGGCACCTCGATTCAAAAATATTTGCATTCGAGAAAGATATTTGAGAGATAGAGATATCAGAAGTCAGATTTAAGATGCATATTTTAGATTTTAATATTTTAGAGCTTGGAATACTTATATATGAATTTGTGAAAATTTTTTAATATAAGGATATCCAAACACAAAAGCATTTAAATTTGTAGAACAATAAACGTATTTTCGTGTAACAATATTTTTATATATCAAGATACAGTAGAACTTTGTTAATTTTTGCCCTCTGGGGGATGGAAAATTTTTGGATAACAAAAAATAACAATGCTCGTTCACTGCGAACTACCCAATTCCCGTGCATTTGCTCGAATGCAGTTGCACACTCGAAGTTGTTTAAGAATCTAATATTTCTGAAAATACATGTGGAAGGATACCAAATTAACGTGCGTGAGTGCAAAGATGAATTTAAAGCAATATTCTACTCTATAGTAATTTAATTTAATTTAATTTAATCGTGTTAATCGTAATTTCAAACTTAACAATTTTTATTTACCAACATAATTTACACATTAAACTATTTGCTAAGTTTGCTAATGGAAATACAAATAAAGTGTTCTATAAATTTAAATAACTTGAATTTGAATAAAAACTCCAAGGTGTCGAAAATTTTAGAAAACTCTTGGCTTGATAAAATCGATAGAAAGTAGATTAAGAGAAATTAAAATTACAAAACTCCAAAGAGAATAATCATTTAATCATTTAATATCATCTCACGCGTAAAATGTTATTCTTTACAGTAGTGTTACATTAATGATACGACAATATTTTTTATACCACGTGGTCTAAAAAATGCCATAGTATCTAGTGAGAATTAAATCCCCCCGCAAAAAAAAAAAAAAGAAATCAGATTTAAACATCGCGCAAGGAAGGATCCTTTTGGCGAGGGATTAACGTGGCAATGTAAATTTTATCGCGAGATTGAAGTTATCGCGTCGAAGTACGCATACGAGCGTCCTCGAATTTAAGGATGCTCGAACAACTGTTGCGTGCATCCTTCGCAGCTTCTTCCGCGTCGTCTCACCTTCCGCTCGACTGCACGCGCAGCATCGCGCCGCGTCGCTCCGGAATATGCGCGCGCGAGAGAGGTCGCCGCGGGCGGCGGGGGCACGGGTAGCCTGACGTCGCGGCGCGCGGCGTCGCGGCGCGGGTGCCGAGCACCGCGTCGTCAGTTTGCGTCTGTCTAGGGTCGCGACATCTTCACCTCCACGTTCCGTAGATCGCGCCATCCGCTCTCGCGCATCTACGCGAAAATCAACGACGACGACGACATCGAGAAACAATCGTATCTCTCAAGATCAAGATTAACAGACTCACGTGCTCGATCTCCGCAAACGTCTCGCGCGCGGTGGGTCCGGTTTTGATCGGGACCAGCTGGTCTCGAGGAGAAAGTTTGAGAGAATCTTGGGGTGTTCCAAGAAGATCCAAGTATTCTCAGAACTCTCTCGGAATTTTTGGAAATTCTCGGAGAAGTCTGCGAGACACACAGAGTCGAGGCTCTGAGTACACTTTGAACAAGTTGGAGCACCTGAGATATCTCACATAAGTTTAAAGCATTTTTGGAGCAAGTTTACGAGAGATGGCAAACTAGTCTGTAAAAAGCGTGACAAAAGTCGCAAGTTTTTTTGAGAGAATAGAAGTCCTGTGTAATTTTAAGGTGCGTAAAAAAGAACAGTCGGAAAGTGTTGTCAAGAGTCACCAAAAACTCTGAGAAACTCTCAAGAATCTTTGAACATTTTTGTAAATCAGAAATTTTTTAACAATCTGCGAAAATCTCGAAGGACTTACAAGATTTGAGTTTCAAAAAACGTTCCGAGGAAGATTGCCAAATAACTTTTGCATCGCGCAGATTTTTAGTCACGTGGTCGGAGAGTTTCCGAACTTTTAAAGATCTACGTTAGAGACATTGGTGTTGTGTCTTATAACGGAAAGAGAACTATTTTCGTCTCATGATTATTTTATAGAATCTGAAGACAGATTATTCAATCAATGTAAATTTGATTAAAAGTGATTAATAAAGTATTAATATAGCACTTCGCGTGTTTTACGATTTAGCAATCGATTATCTAGGACATTTTTACAGAATCTCTAGCGCAAATTCTCACTTCTGACGAATGTTTCTTTAGAATCTCGTTCGAATCTTTGCTCTAGGATCTTGCCTCGCGCCTCGAGAATCTTAAAGTGAACGAGCTTGACATTTAAAGGACCTTTGGTTATCCCATCATGACTCCGAAGAATTCTGTTTGAATAGTCCTGAATGCAGTAAAACTAACATAAGTGGAATTATTGAAGACCAGTAAGATTTTGAAGTTGATCGATCTGCAACCAGATATTTTTGAGAAGTCGGTGAATTCAATTCAACGACTCGGGAAACAGAGTTAGATGGATCTGTTTTGATATCCGACAGAATTATTTTCTCTCTACTGCGATATTTTTGGTAAGTACTGACAATTTAATTATATTTACGTTCTAAATAGAATTTGCAAATATTGAATATTTAATAAAATAAATGTTAAATGTTAAATGCACGGTAATTGGATCTTTTTCTATATCACCATGTAACTTTATAAAGTTTTTTGCTACACATAATATATACAATAATATATATAATATATACAAAATAAAATATATATTATATGTACTATTGATACTGTATTAATATATTAATAATATAATAAATAAATGTATATAAATTATGTAAATTTTTAAGAGAAAATATTTTTAGAAAATACTTTTGGGAAATATTTCTAGAAAAAATTTGATTATTTATAAACGAATAATTTATAATAATCTAGTTAATTATGCAATTCTTACATATTTAGGTAAGTAGATCTTTCCTATGTTTTATAAAAAATTTTTATATTCGTCGATTGTAACTGTTCCAAAATCTGAGGAATGAAATTGGGGAAATATTGAAAAATATTTTTGTTAATCAACGTTCAATCCAAACATTCCAAACACATAAAATCCAAAAGCAGATTTATGAACTTTTATCGTGTAATTTATCACATACCCTACGTTACATTCTCCAATATGTATTGCCTGGTATTGTCACATGTTTCGAGCGAACATAGTGTTTTACATTGTAATAGCATAAATATTCAACTATCTACAGATATAAATATCCAAGTACCGCGGTAATAAAATAAATAACCGGATAACGAAAACCTTCAAATATATTCGCGGATATATTTAGCCATTCTATAAAAGTTACGACACCAAACGATTTCAAGAAACGTGCATATGAAAAAACAAAGAGACTATCGAAATATTCTGTTCGCACACATATCAAATCCAAAAATTTTACATACGCGGAATCCAAACGGATTTATGTATTCGCGAGTTTTAATCGCGTCATTTATTACACGTGCCACTATTATATCTTCAAATATACACCGCATCGTATTGTCGCTTGTTTCAAGCAACGAGTCAGATTACTGCTGAGTGAACTTTACAACTTAATTCTGTTTCGCATCGTGCAGCTGCGAACATATCAGTCTACACGATTGCTCGCGAGCTTTATGCGCTTTACTCGCAAAATCTCGGCTCGGCGCGCGGCTCATACAAAACTTGACGCTAAACTCCCGTATTACCATTGTCGTTTGCTTTCATAGACTAGACGACGGGCACCATCGTCACTCTAAAACGTCGGAAAATTCGTTATCAATTCCTGCTTATCGGGACGTGCCGTCGCCTCCCGAATAAGGACTCGTTTATCCGCTCGGACGAGCACTGAAAGCGCGCGCGAGGATTAACTTGAAATCAGCGTCGCAGCGTGTACTGATTACGAACAATTGCAATTAAATTCTTTCCACGCTAATGACTGCTGGCACTTGAGCTCCGTGCAAATGATATTTAAATTAGCACGCGTCCTGTATACTAATCAAGAACCTCCTCGCACCGCGGACGTGCTCTCTTTCTGCCGAATTATTAATTAATATCGCGTTACGATCATATCAACTTCACGTGAGTTATCCGATAAAAAACGGATACTCGGCCCCAGATTGATTGAATAGTAATTTTTATAACCCTGGTTAAAGTTATATTGGTATAATATTGGTATATAATTTTCTAAATTTCAACAAATCTCCAAGATAAAGATACAAGACATTCATAAGAAAATTTTAATATTAACAATCAATTTCATATTTTGATCAGACATAAGTTATTAATACATATGTAACATATAAAAAAAATCTTATATTATATACTCATTATATATATAATTTGTTTATAAGAAATTGAAATTCTTGAATTTTTTAATTTTAATTTTATTTTTTAATTTTTTTAAATGTATCTTACATAATGAATGATTAGAGAAAATTCTTGATTTAAATATTTATTCTGAAATTAAAAAAATTAGAGAAATGTTTCATTCAAAATCGAAAATTATATCAAATTATTTCAGATTATATCGAACTATTTTGAATTCACGTTGCGCGGCCACTTATGTCAAGGTGAAGAAAATATTTCATGCGGTTTATTAGTAGTATGTTTACGAAACGAGGATGGTTCTCTTAAGAAATCGTTAAACAATCGCGATTGTTTACCAAGGTCTCGTAAACATTGCAGTTGCTCGCCAAAGTAACCACTCGCCAATGTCTACTTGCAAAAATAGTTTTTTAGTAAGCCCAAGAAAAACAATCGATCATGAAATCGATGTTAACCAAAAGTTTCGTTTCACATGCGTATACAAGAGCAAATTCTCGGGAAAATTAATAATAATCACTTGTATTAAAAAATAGTCGGAGACAACAAATTACTATTAAGCCTTCTTACAGACTACATTTTATGCAAAATTAATATGTAATTTTAAAAAAATATGTAATGTTGATTACACATTATTTCTTATATATTTCCAAAATTTTTAACAAAATATCTTGGTAACAACATCTCGAATTAAAATTTTATTGTAAAGTAAATTAAAGCTGAAAGAAAGATAAAGAAAAAAAATTTTAATATTATTTTCTAATTAACTATTGCAATTTTTCTCTCTCTCTTTCTTGTTGATTCTAAAAATCGAATAATAGAATACCTTTTACCCTTTGTAAAATTCTTTATTTAATCAAATAAATGTTTTTCTGTTAAAATGATATATTTTTAATAACAAAAACAAGATAAAAAAATTGCAAAAGATATTTAAAAACAAGATTAATAATGGCGTAATCAATATTCAGCTTTGATAGATCTAAAAATAAATGTCTTTTTTTAATTTTATACTTGTGTATGTAGAGCAAGTTTCTTATTTTTCTAGAGAAAACAAATAATAGAAAATGCAAATAATAGAAAAATCAATCCATATGATATACCATATTTCAAAATTAATAGGCCTTATTAAAATAGGCGATATTTAAAAATTATTAGGCCTTAATTATTAAGATATTTAACACTCTAAACATTTAAAACATTTTATTTAATCTAATTTTATTTAATCTAATTTTATTTAATCTAATTTTTTAGGGAAAATACAAACGAAATCAATATGTAGATAAAAATGTGAAATATGAAATAAACGAATAATTCATTTCGCGTTTCTTTGTTTTTTTATGGAAATACATCAATAGCTCACAAAACGTGCTAACAAAGTTTCACATCTGTCGAATATCAATGGATGGTTTCAAAGCATATTTCAACGCAATTAGTTAATTATATAGAATTTTGTGAAAATGTGAAGTTAACTCCATCAATCCTCCATTTCGTGAATGATTATGATTTTTGATAGTTCTTGTCTAATTATTCTACAATTTTGGATAATAATAAATATTGTTAATCTTTTTGCGACAGCTATTAATGAATAGATAAAAAAATGTAATACTTTTATTATATGTAAAGAATATTAAAATTATTACAATATAATTTCTTGAAATATGGAATATATATATTACACATGTTGATATATATATATATATATATATATATATATATATATTCTGATTACGCATATATATTCCTATTTAATTATATATTCTGATTGATTTATTTTATATAATATAATATTTATATTATAATAGCTTGATATTAATAAAAGAATTATGGAAATAAGATATAAAACGCATTACGTAGAAAGTACTACATAATAAATAATCTTTCCGAAGAATATCGTATTCTCTTTAAAATACTCGAGAATTCTGTAGAGATATAGCATAATATACATTTGTATATAATATTAGAAATATGAACTGGAATGAGAAATTTCTCTGTATGGAGAACAAAATGCTATAACATAGTCTAAATAGTAGTAAATGCAGTTACATTCCAAGTGCGCAGAAGTGCATCCCGGATGCAGCTGGTCGGCTGCGCAACATTCCGCAATAGCTGCGGTCATTTTGAACACGCTGGGTTAGCCAGGAATGTTAATAGAAAATACTCGGTGTCTCCAGACTTTAATTATGAGGCGCGAATGGAGATCGCGAGCGAGGGAGTCAGGCAGAACGAAGGGTGGGAAGGAAGGATGCGGTGGAAACGGGTTGGCGCAAGAAGGAAGGAGGGTAAGACTCTCCCTCGTGAAGTCTCGAATTACAGAGGGTGGAAATCGTGGCGTTTGTTCGACAGAAGCATCGCGTTTACAACGAAGAAAGTGTTGAAAATTGGCAAGATTTCGGACTATTCGCAAGATATTGGAGTAAAACGGCGATCCCGGTAGAATGCTGAGCGGTTTCAAGAAAATACGTCGCGGATAGAAACGAATAGAAATTCGTGGAAAATGAAGAAAACGCGAGAAAAGCCGAAAAATGAGAGATATGGAAAACTCAGGAAAGCATTGATTGTGAAAAGCACTGATAATCACAGAAATAGAACGAAGGGAGCAAGACACATCGGGAAGCCACCATAAGTTTCTGCTTCTCTTCTTGCGCCTTTAGACGGATCGATTTTCGAGGGGTTGATCTTCGAAACGAGCCGCCAGCACCGCAACGTTAAATTCGCGATTAAAATGCATTGCGTAAAATCAGAGGGGCGGCCTACGTTCCGTTCTGTTCCTGCGCACCGAGTAAATTACATGCCGTCGTCAATCCGGCTCGGATTTCTCCAAAGCCTCGGGTTCACGCCAGACGGAGCAAAGTATTATAGAACAAGGGGAAGTGGTGCAAAGCGCAACGAAGCAAGGGGAGCAAGGAATATAGAAACATAACATTCCAAGAAAAAGCAAAGTAAACTAAAGTCAAGAACCGGATCAAGAAAAATGAGAAAAGTGAAGCATAATCCAAATATAAGACAAAATAAAACGAAGCGAAATAAAGAAAGATTAAAAGAAACGAAGCAATGCAAAATAAGCTGATGTATAATATAGCGGCGCAGAGCAAAAATTAGAGCAAGACAAAATAAATTAAAGAGAAATGGGATGAGGAGAGCAAAGCATGAGGAAAGTAAAGTAAAGCGAAATAATGCGAGGAAAATTAAAAGAAGCGAAGGAACGCAGGGCGAGCATAGTAAAGTAAA